GATTTTTTTCCATCTAGACTTTACTTCCTATGTATATGCTATTTTAAATTCTTTTAAATGCAATCTTGGCATGATGGCCATGTGCCAAATGCATTAAAATAAAACAATTATTCTGAATCCTAACAATAAACCCATTTTTAGATCTCAGCTTCCAGTGGTGTTTTCCTAGGTTTAAAGTTGAAGTGAAGTCTAGTGTAAATTTAGGTGAGTACCTACATATATTTTTGCAAATTATCCAAACTTGACATTTTGACACTAGAGATAACACAACACACCTGGGTACTGTTTTGACAGTGTTCAGGATTACACTCCTATAACCCACCACAATTGCCTAGACCTTTGCCATGTAAATCAACAAATACACTCCACAAAAATAATTACACTTTACTCATCTTCTCCATTACATCAATAATAAGTTGTCAAAATGGATATTTTGGGGGCTTTATAAAAATTATTAAAGAGGTTTCTTTTCTCTTTTCTATGGTACCTAACACCAATTTTCTAGGATATTAGGTAACTTTCTTTAGGTTACATGTTTCAAATTTAGCTTAGGAATCAAGGCTATGTCATAAGACAGGACACACACTTAATTGAGTGGGTTTAATAAATTAAGCCAATTCATTTAATTTGGATGAAGATGGCATTTTGTCCTGTTTGCAGATTGAAATTTTGGTGAAATGGCAATTTTTCAGAGAAGTAAGAGAAAGGAATATTTCATTTCCTTTTAAGTAACTATTATTACCTTTGAATGACTAAAGGTTTTGCAAACATATTTTAAAAAAGAAATCTCAACTAAGTCACCCCTCCAAAGTCTAATAATATTTGCTGTCTCCTATTGTGTACGTGGGAGACATAACATTCACTCCACTAGTCATTCTCATAAACTTCTTCCTTTGATTTCCAAAGAAAAATGTAAGAGCCAATGAGATGTTATTTGAAAGCTCTGTATGGCACTGCTATATAGAGAAGTCAGAGTATCACAAATATGATCTCCAATTAACAGAAAAAAATAATAGTAAATAATAATAATACCTAGATTCCTATTTTTACTTTGAAGTTAAACATATTTCAATGGTGATTCTATTAACAAGTCAAGAATTGTTCCTAAAGGGTCAGAATACATAAATTCTTAAGGGACCAAATTAACACCACCTACCTTTCAACATAGTATAGGCATCCGTTGGTAACATGTCCATGAGGAGTCTGAATTAACAGCACAGGGTATATAATATTCGACAGATAATCGTGTTATATTTACATTATAAATTTGATTTGCTGTTCTTACTCTGGAATTTTAGCCTTGCTTATTTTTTAATTTTACTAAGAAATCTTAATGTGATATTTTTCTTCATATTTAGTCACAGCTGTGTTTTCATCCTGCTCTGTATCCTCTTCTCTTTTGCCTTCCTGTTTGATTCAACTTCTTCCTCATTTACACCTATCATTTCCTTTCTAATTTTTAGTGAGAAGTTCCTATTTTTAGGCGGTAAGCACAGCTGTATTTTTGTTTTCCAGATCTTCTTTCTTTTCATATTATTCCCAAGTTCTTATGCCAGATTCCCCAAAAGATCAATATTCCATGAACAGGGAATTTGTAGCTCCTGCCAAATGGAGGCTAGACTACTGCCCTTTGGATCTGGGAAAAGCAAAAGGAAAGGAAAATACCGTGCCCTTTGTCTTCCTCTGTCCTCTGAGTTATCTTAGCAACACAGTGAACAGATCCAGGAATCAAAAACATGGTCATTGGCCACATGAGGCTTATGCATGAAAAGGAAGGAATAAGACTAAGGGGAACCCCAGGCACTGTTGGGAATGTAAACTGGTGTGGCCACTGTGGAAAACAGTATAGAGGTTCCTCAAAAAATAAAAATAGAACTAACATACGATTCAGTAGTCCTACTTTGGGTATTTACCTGAAGAATTTGAAAATACTAGTTTAAAAATATATATGCACCTCTGTGTTCATTGCAGACAAAATGGAATAAGATATGGAAACAAAGTACCTCATGATAGATGAATGGGCAAAGAAAATGCAGGCTAGCGACATAACAGACCACTCAGTCATAAAATAAGATGAAGTCCTGCCAGTTGGGACACCATGGATGAACCTCGTGGGACTGATACTAAGTGAAGTAAGTCAGAAGGAGAGAGTCAAATACCATATGATTTCACTCATTTATAGAATATGAAGAAAAGACTATAGAATATAAAGAAAGGAATATAAAGAATAAATAAAACCAAAATAAATCTTTAGATTCTGACAACAAAATAGTGGTTACCAGAGAGCAAAGAAGGGGTAAGGAAAGAGTAGAGGGGGTCAACTGGTGGGCACTGAATGGTGACTGGACATTTGCCAGTGCTATGGTGTGCCCAGGTGAGACTAGATACCTGAAACCTATGGAGTGTAAACACACGTACCTCAATAAAAAGGAAAAAGAACAAGATAAAAAAAGAAGACAAAACAAAAATCATACTTAAGCATGGAAATGGGGGAGAGCAGCATACTAAACAATGAGAGTGGAAGAATTCCACAACTCTTAAGGCACATTACAGTGGCATCCATTGATTTTTTTTTTCCTAGCGTGTTAAGTGGTTTATTAAGGTTCTACAGATTGGCAGATTGAAATAAGAAGCTGGAGGATTAAAATGACAGAACTGGGGCCTCCCCGATGGCGCAGCAGTTGAGCGCTGAGTTGCGAAGCTGCCTGTGGCCTCTGCGGCGCCAGTTTGATCCCCGGCTGCTCCCCGGCCACAGGAGGAGGGTCCCACATGGCGCGCAGACCTCTCCTGCCGCCCGCTGCTCCCCTCAGCAGTGTACTTCGGTCCTTCTGCCTGCTCTGCTCCCCGCTCTGGCTCTGGTGAATTCTCTCGCCCTCCCGCGCTTCTGACTGTACCCAGTGCATGTATAAACAAAACAAACAAACAAATAAATAAATAACATGCCTCTATAAAAAAAAATTTTAAAAAATAATATAAAAAAATAAGTAAAATGACAGAACTGAAATGTATGGTCCTGATACCTGCTGTAAAAAGAGAGAAATGAATGTTTTAAAAGGAGAAGGATCCAAGAAAGGGGGTAAGGAGAAAAAGGCAAAGCTGGGTCCATTTAGCACTAGAAAGAGAAGGTTGCCTGGAGGAAATCAAACATTTCAGTTACAAATAAGGGTGGTGGGTGTTGGTGAGATATGTATTTTATTTCAACTGAAACCAAAACTAAAGGAAATGAGCTGAAATTGCATCAGGAGGGATTAAAGTTAGATATTAAAGTCTGGTGAGATAATGGAATACATAATCAAGAGGACTGCGGAAGTCTGTTCCCAAGGATGCTTAAAAATAAGTATCTATCTTTCTGGAGTGGTTTTAGATACAGAACTGCCTTGAGAATTAGAAAGGAGACTTTTAGGTTTATCTTCCAGTCCAAAAATACTTTTACTTTATTTTTTTTGTTTGGTTTACTTTTGCTTTATTTAATAAGACAGATTTAATGAGACAGATTTCAGTGCTATAAACACTGAAGCTACAGTGAATGGGGGAGGGGTAAACAAGCAGTAACACTTATTTTGGCCTTGTTGGATAAAAGCAATTCTCAGAGCACCTGAACCAAAGCCTATATACTCAGGTGTGGTTAATCTTACGGTAGTTAATTGAATGAGTCTCGTGAGGATTTTACAGAGTTAGAGCAAGTTTGGACCAGGCTCTTTCACTAAGTAAAAAGGGTTGTAAAAATGCCTTCATTTCAAAAGGGAAGCAGTCAAATTGTTTGTAATGTGATGCAGAGACTAATGTAAGTTTAGTTGTCTTGTTACTACCACGAATAATTGAGTGCGCTATCTAGACAGGTTTGGCGTAGACCCAGTTATTTTACATCATTTCAGGGCAAGCAAAGATATACTATATATACCAATCTATCCAGAGACCAGCAGTTACCATGGGCAGACTCTGCTAACAGTTAGGGCTACCCATGTGTAATGGGCAGGAAGGGTCAGTGCAGGGTTTCTATGACCAGAGCAGACGGGGTAAAGGAGAAGTCCTGGAGCCCTCGGTGGCTTTTCAGGCTTTTATGGGGATTACCAGGTACATGGCAGGCAGGGGTGCTGGCGGGGCGAGAGGTCCTAGCAAGTCTTTACTCTTTGTGGGATCTCCGGCGTTCTCTCGCATTCTCTCCGCTTCTCTCATGGTTCTGCTTCTTCCATTCATTCTTCTGGCATCCCTGTGATGCTGCCCTTATAAGCTCAGTCTCTTAGCCCAGGTGTACCCACTTACACATGCCCACACCCTACTCCAGGTGCCTGCCATCAGGCATGCATTCAGGACCACAGGGATCCATCATTAATCCTAATGGCGTGAGGGCAGAAAAGCCTGATACTTTACCTTACCCTACACCATGGCACAAAACACAACCTTGATCCTCAGGGTGCCCACCACCACTTAATAAAGGGTGGGTTAGGGTTAGGAACTACTGATCGCTATTATACAATAGAATCCCAGATAGACTAGTGTAGGGTAAGGTAAAAAATCAGGCTTTTCTGCCCTCCCGCCATCAGGATAGATGAGGGAACCCTGTGATCCTGAATGCATGCCTGATGGCGGGCACCTGAAGTGGGTACACCTGTGCTAAGACTGTGCTTTTTAAGGGTGGTGTCACGGGGACGCCAGTAGAAGCCATGCTGAGAAAGCTGCAGCAGAAGCCGAAAGAGAAGCCGAGAGAGAAGCAGAGAAGAAGAAGCAGAAGCAGAGAACGCCAGAGAGCCCAGATAGAGTGAAGATTTGCTGGGGGCTGGGAGGACTGCCAGCCTCCCAGCCCCCCAGCACCCCTGCCTGCCATGTACCTGCTAAACCCCAATAAAAACCTGCAAAATCACTGAGGACTCTGACTCCTCCTTTACCCGGTCTGCATGGGATCAGAAAACCTGTACTGTGTCCGTTCCTGATTTTACAACTAGCAATCCCAGATAGACTAGCAGGAGTCAGTCAGCTAGAATAGGCAATATGAAAGTCCTGTACTTACCTGGCAGGAGAGACACCATGATCACGGAGGTGGTTTTCCAGAACAAGCCTTATCCATTGCACTTCAGATGTGCTGACCCTTGCGATTTCCCCAAGTGTGGGAAATTTGACTGCATAATTTGTGGTAGTATGGGGACTGTGTTCCTGCCTTTCATCCCACACCAAGAGGAAAAAAGAAAGATGAGAGTCCGAGGCAGAGTTGCTCCATGCCTGGACAAGGGAGAGCTGAGGAAAGGAGAGTATGTGTATAGGGTAAATGAGTTAATCAGGCTTTTTATGCCACGAACCTCTATGGCTATCACCTGTGGTCTTGAACGTGTTCATGCAGAAGGTGCATAGGTGTGGAGCACACATGTCTGATTGTGGACGCCTGGAGTATAGATGCGTGCACATGTGCAAATGTGCTTGCTTGAGCCTATAGGCTGGGAAATACGGATGGCTATGAGAGGACGAGCAACATGACTACAAAAGAGGCAAGACCATGAGGCAACGGCTGAGAGAACCCCAAGAAAATGTAAAGATTTATGTGGAACTGGGAGGCTTGTTTGCCTGCCTGCCTCCTAGCCCCCTGCCTGGCCTGTGCTTGCCTCCCTGCATGCCAGTCTTCCTGCCTGTGTACCTGATTCCCTGAGAGCATTAAAACCTGAAAAATCCCTTATCTGTCTGCCCAAATCAAGAGTGAACCTGCCCTGTGCTTGCTGGCACTACAGTGTGTCCTTCTGGGAGCAGCAGATAGGTAAGAATGTTAGTTGTTGGTGGCAATTGCAAGTGAAGGGGCTGAAGACACAGAAGTCAGCTCATGAAGGAACTCAAGCCAGAGCAGTTAGTTGGCAGCTTATTGTGAAAACAATCAAGGGCTTCAAGCTCCAGAGGAATAGCAGGATCAGATCATGTGTTACAGGGGATGCACGAGGTAAGTGAGACTTCAGCACACAGGACTGAGACTTCTCAATATTTGCATAGTGGTTGGGTCAGGTGAGCACTCAAATAATTACCAGGCTGTAAGTCTCCTGTGCCCAAGCCACATCCTATTTTTATTGGGTTACGCTGCTATCCAAAGTTTCAACTAGGCAAGCCTGCTTGTCCCTCCCACCTCTATGTCCAACAGCTAAATAATGAGGTCATAATACTATAAGCAACTCTTAGCATATTTCTTAAAGAAAAAAAAAAAGCCTCGTGGTTGGCTAAGGTCATTCTTAAAGAGCAGCTTACAGCACTTGTACCCTCCTGACACCAGGATTTAAAAAAGAAAACGTCAGGAGTTACTGAGTTCTACTTCATCATCATCAAATATCCTGTGGTTTCAAAACAATTATCATGGTGCTTTACCCATCAGCTGTGCAATGTTTTTTCCTAGTCTACAGACACAAAAATGTTTAGGAAGTCAACTTCAAAGATAAGTGCGGCCATTGGGGACAATTCTCATACTGATGATCATTTTCACCAAAAGCAAGGAGCAGGTTATGAATCATCTGTGGCCACTTACGTTTAAGCTGAATACATTAAAATTTAATGGTTTCAACACAAGAAGCCAGTCGTAAGTCTGCACATAAAGGCACTAATGTGTTGGGCCTAATTGTACTTAGATGAAGTAAGTCAGGAATGCATGGCAGACAACTATATTTTGCTGTGAAATGAAAATTATGAATCTCTAATCACAAGCAAAGGTTCATTTTTTACAATTCATTATTCATGATTTCATTCACTTTAAATTATTCATTTTCTCAAATGTTATTGCTGCAGCCTTTTAAACTTTCCTACTCCTCCACTTTCAAGTGATAAATGCCTGAGAACTAAGGGGTCTCAGGCATTTGAATACAATAAAGTGCTTTTTCAACATGCTGCTGGCTTCTGCTCACAATTAAACGTTAGGACTGTCACCTTTCATTTGATCTAAGAGATAATAGGCTAATAAAAAAATGGCCTATTTCAAGAGTTTTCTTTTCTAATGAAACCTAAACTTTGAAACAAGGACTCCTCCATGATCTGGCCCCTTTTACCTTTACCAAACCCATGTCCTGTCATTCTCCCCAGGTGCCTGGGCCTTCTTTGTTATTTCTTTTGAATCCTTTGCATTTCCTGTTCTTCTCTGGGATGCCTACCTCTCCACCTATTCTCACACCCTCCCAGTCCGCCAAAGACATCTTCATTCAGCTGGTTCCTTCCTGTTCATGCTCACCTCAGATGACCTCTCCTCAAAACAGCTTCTCCAAGGATCTCCTCCTCCTGCCAGCTACTCCTTATTACACTCCCCTGCTTACTGTTTTCATATTACATATCACACTTTACACTGACCTTTTTGTTGCTTGTGTATCATCTGCCTTTACCACTAGGATGGATGCTTTATTGGGGCAGAGTCTTGTCTATTTTGTTCACCACCTTATAAACCAAGACTCTAGTATAGTGGTGGACACACAGTAGGTACTTAATAAAGATGTATCAAAGGAATGAAATTTTAATGCCATGAGATAACAACTAAAGTGTATTTTAACCTGATATCACCTCCTCAATTGAATAAGTACAGTTTGTCCCTGATTTTTCTCACATCTTTCCATAAACTGATTTATGAGCCATCAAAGGGTTCTACAGAAATTATGAGCAAGGCACAGTCTGTAACTTAGACTTGGAACTGTTGTGGGTAAAAGGTTGCATCACAGACTTTCATTAAGAGAAGGATCCTGAGTTCCTAACAGCAGCAAAGAAAATGAGATTTAGAGAGGCTGAATGAAAAACCATCTATCTTTCAGCATCCTCTACTCCAGGGAGGATATCCCAAGCCAACTGTCAGATTTGGGGAAAGAAAAAGAGTCTGAAAACAGCCTAGAACATTATCAGTTTATATCAGTTCCTTAGAAATGCCTTAAATCCATGTTCAGCTTGGTTTCAGACTCAACCCTCTTCTCGGATAGAAAAAGAGGTCACACTTTGCTTAAGATCACCCCTCATCCGCTGTCGTGGTCCACTGTCACTGACTTCCTGGCTAGAATTTCCTCTGACAATAAAATCATTAACCAGACCATTTTGTGCAAAGGACTGATACTAAAGGCAAAAGGAAAAGAACTAAGTAGGTCAAGTTAATAGAGGGCAAGTCTGTGAGTTACTGAAATACATTTTTGCAATAAAAATCAAAGTCTGACTGGTACCTTTGAGCATTTTATGCTTCCTCAAATTAAGTGATGTTTCTGGCTAGCACACAATGTGTTACTACAATAGGAAACCTTAGATTCAGATATTAAATATGAATTAATGATGATGGTCTTTTAAGTAATTCAAAAGGCTATTCAAATGGAAACTGAGTGCATAATTACTAGACATTCTTGGCAAATGCAAATGAAAAAAGCAAAAGATCTTCAGATAAGCAATCTAGTTAAGAACCATAGGATTATTGAGAGGTGATTTGTACAAGGTGATCCAAAAGAGGGTTATCATAGTATGGGGGGTGGGGCACTAGTAAATTTTTTACAACACGTCCTTGAAATATTATTATTGGCATTTGGAGAAGACCTGCAGGAGGAAGCTAAGGAAAAGAAAGTTAAATCTATGCTTAAAATGATACTTAAAAAAAATGGGACTTAAGTAAAAATTTGCTAAATAACTGATGAGAAATGTAAAGACTAAAGAAAACAGAACGCTTAAGTTTCAGTTCCCAGCCCCAAATGCAATCCTTTAGGTTAGGCTGATCTTCTTTTGAGACAGACTTGTACTTCTCATTACTTATTAAGACAAAATTTTGGAATGTCTCCTGAAGTCATTCAAATTGCCCTTTTGTACCTGAGGTGGCAAACGTGGCAATATAATTTACAGAGGATACATTATGTTAGACCTTACAACAGTTCTGTGATGTTCTCCGATGCCCACCAAGGACTCCAGCAAATTGACACCTCTAAAGTCATTTTCCTGGCATCCTGAGATGAATTTAGCGCCAGGTCTTCAAATGTGAAAGCTCATATGTCATCCCATTATGCCACCTGGCCTGCAACCAGCACACCTTTAAAATAGATTTATTTAGACTATAAACTTACAGGATAGTGCCTCTGTCTTCAAATATATTACATTTAAACAGCTGGGGAAATAAAATCCTGACTTTCCAATGCTGAAATCTCTGAGGTCAATTTGAAGTATAAAGAGGGCTATCGAATTCTATTAAAGATGCAGATTTAGATGATGTTTTGGAACGGATTAAAGAAAAAAAGCAAAACCTCGATCGGAAAACTCTTGAGGGCTCACCTTCTTTGTGTCTTACTTGAAGTTTGGTTAAATACTGTTCAAAACAGAAAGTTGAAGGGTTTTCACAACTTTAATTAGAAAGTAGTTCCAAATAGGGAACATACTCCGCTAGTCTGTCAGTGTACAAAACTCATTTTATGTAAATAAACTCAGTCATCCTTCTTGCCCTGGAAGACACTTGTTATCTCACAATTCTTTGTTGTTAACCAGTCATAGGAAATTAGACTGTGTCTCAAGAAAATCACCTCGTGACATTGGGAATCCAAATATGTACTACTCCACAACATTGTGCTCCATCAAGCGTTACCAGTAGGATTAGCCAAAATAGTAAGCATGTAGTTAGTGCCCACATGGATTTTTATTTGCTAATTTAGAATGCACATACAGCAATTAAGAGAACTAGACAATGTAACATAGGTTACCAGTGGGAAATATTGACAGTATTAGGATAAAGCACATAAAACTGCTAACATTACTTAATCTTAAGGAGTCAGAATACTTAGCAATGGTTAGAATATTCAAAGAAGACTTGCTGCAGGAAAAGTAGACTGAAGACAGGCACTCACATTAAACATGGACAGAATTCATGTTAATTCTTATCTTCCTCAAAAGACTTATCTTCCTCTATAGACTTTGCATTGGTCAACTGGAGCCAGCAATCCAGGAGACCTCCCCAATACCTTTCTTTCTCCCTTAATCCTTATCTTCACACAGTTATCAAGTCCTGTTGATTACCTGCAAAAAAGTTCTCATAGCCATCTGATCCTCTCGATCTCTATTGCTACTTTCCGTGTCTGAGCCTCTAGCATTCCTTGTCTTCAGAATATTTACCTCATTTTGTAACTGAATATCATATGATTTTATCATTCATTAATAAAGTGGGCTCCAGAATGGTAGGGACTGTGTCTGTTTTGTTCTTTATTGTTCTA